TTCATTTAAAATGTTCAAAATAGACCTGAAAGGAGATGTGAGTAGCATGTGCACTGCTGGCGCCTTGCAGAAGGGTAAGCTTCATCCCAAAGCGAGCATCACCTGATGAGGAATCACATGTGGGCTGGACCAAAGCCACAGCAGTGCAAACAGCTTCTGTCAAAAGGCTGTTGACAGCAGAGCTGGGCTGGTTGCTTGCTACAGTTCGTTCCCCTTTCCAAACATTTCACAACACAGGGGACAAAATAAGGCTTGGAAGCACAGTGTATGTTTAGGCAGCTTCCAGTTCTTTCAGGTACCGATGTTCCTGATTTTGGGCTATGCTATTTCCTGTAAGCAATGAATTAATACGACCACAATGCTACTTCTACTAAACCAGTGCAAAAACAGGTGAAAGAACTACAGAATAAAAGTTAAATGGATAAAGACAAACAGATTACTTACCTGGAAGGGCCAGAATTAATCTACCTTTTAATTTACCTGCTATCCCCAGGCAGAAGCAGCAGGATATAGATTTGCAATTTTAGTGTCATGAAGACTCAAGATGGGTGAGCTGCTTAGAGTTTATCTCTCGGGTGCCCTGATCCTGTCTCTGAGCGAGTATTAGTTCCTCTGTGCATGGTGGGGCATCTTCAGGGTTCTGTAAATTGGGCCAGCATCCAATTCACCTTTGCTTTGTATTTAAGATAACTCACAGTATTGGTTTCATCCAACCTGAATATAATGACAGTGCCTCAGTGCCAGGGTCAGATCCTTCTGTGGAGCTGTGCCTCATGCAGCTTCTTACTTGGTGAGACAAAAAACATCAACTGAGACCAACAAAGTTCTCAAGGTAGAGAAGATAGAGTAACAACACAGTAAGGTTCCTGGCACCTGGGAAGAAGGGCATCATAAAAGTCCCTCCACCACATTTTAGTCTCCAGGACATTTTTTATTTTTAAAGGTGATTCCGCTCTCTTCCCAGCCCTGTGATGGAGGTGACAGCACAGGACCCTCTAAGGAGTGAAGGAAGGAAAAATAGTTGGGATATTGCAACAGGACAGGCACCAGCTCTGCTGGGAGGGTCTTGGACAAAACCCTTCACCGAATGGAAAGGAATTTTGTTGTCTCTGGAGGGAGTGGGGAAGTAGTATGAGATACTGTCAGGAATTTCCCAGCGGGATGTGGGCTGAGAAAAGCTGAGCATAAATGCAAATACTGAATGTTCTCATTTTCTATTTTGTTTTCCAGACATTTATAGTACTGAACAAAGGGAAGACAATCTTTCGATTTAGTGCCACTCCTGCCTTGTATATACTTAGTCCGTTCCATCCAATCAGAAGAGCAGCAATTAAAATTTTGGTACATTCATATCCTTTCTGTTGATTTCCCTTCTTGTGTATTTTATATGGTTTTTAAACACAGATGGATGGAAGTCAGAAACCATTTTATTTCATTAAGCTGTTTTAAATCTTTCAGCTGAATTTGCTTGCACAAGCAAAAATGCACTTGGATTTTTGCTTTGTTTCATTTTATATTGTTATGTGAGCTATGAAAATGACTGTATTATACTACTGGCATCAGATAATGTGAACTGCACTGGAGAGTCTGGTGAGTTTACTCAGGTTTAAAGAGTGTGAAGGGCCTGATTATTTTTAGTAAAGAGTCAGTGGAAGAAACTGGGTGTAGTACCTCAGGAAGGAAGGGAACGAGGAGGCTGGAGCACACCTGGGGAAATCTGCACTGCTGGAGAGCTTCACTACTGAGCACTTAGGCAACCTCTCCCATGAGACTCTGTGACATCAGATGCAGACGCAATTTAATTTTGAACTGCCTCAGAAATGAATTTTTTTGCTCTCCTGAAACAGAACATTTTAAAAATGGTTTTGTTGATTTTCTAGTTTTGTTTATTACAATGTGTTATCCAGCTAGAAATGAAAGCACAGGCTGGCATGCTGGACCTTTCAATGGAAGGGAGATGCCTGGTTTCCCCTAGCTCTAGTTCTGAAGTCATGCAAGATAGTTATATATATAGAGAGATATATAGATATACAGTGGTTGGTTTTGGCTTTTTTTTTTTAACATGGCCACAGATACATTCTATTCTGACATAGCCATATCTCTCTGGAAGACCAGACTGACCCAAATGTTCAGCTTCATGTGAATGTTACTAAAAACACTCCCTTTTTCATAAGTTGCCTTTGTTCTCTACAGTGAGCATGGGAGACCTGGCAGTGATAATTCAAAGACTCCACATGCTGCTGTGATGATCATGTGATGTTTTAGCAATGGAAATCCCTCTGAAATCTGAAACGCCCTTGTCCACCAGAAAGAACTAATAAATGCTAAGCAGGTAGCATCTTAGAATCATTGGGTTATTATCAAATTTCAGGGAAAAAAATAGGGAAGGAAACTTGATTCCAAGTGGTTGTCCACCAGGTGGGAAAAAAA